GCGACGCGACGCTCTCTTTCGATTCGGTTTAGCCTTCCCGATAACAATCGTGTCTCGACTCAATCGTCTAATCGCCGATAGTTATCTTCGACCGACCGATTCATCGATTGGAAAGAGGAACCGTGTTACGTTACGGCCTGCCTCTCCATTTACATCGGCCGCATCGAGCGTACCCTTCGTCGCGACGATTTCCACGAAGCGGCAAATTGCCGTTGTGGCGAGGAAAACGCGGCACGGATAATCCACGACGTATCCGCGCGAGTAGCTAGCCCGTTATTTTCGAAGCCGGTAGTTTGCGGATAGGGCGGTTCCTCGCAAACCTTTGAATATTTCAAGTACAGCGAGCGTCGTCCCACGTGCGACGTCGTCGAGGGACAGTCGCGCGGTATTTCCCGACGCTCGTTCCTTCCACGACGTCATGCTGTTTCTCGGTCGAGTTCTCGGTATCGTGGCGATCCTCGCCGCTACTCGACCAGCGGTTGCGTTCGACTCGTGGTTCGTCGACTTGATCCACGACTCCGTCACCGTGCTGTTTCCACCGGTAAGAGTATCGGCGCATCTCTGTCGTCTCGACCATGGTAAGGCGAAAGTGGGAATCTCGTTAACGTTTGGTAACGCAGCGCGTCGATAAGTCGAACGATCGTTCCCGTTCGTAGACGGCGCGATCGAGCTGTCCAGAAGGATGTCGAGGAAGGGTCTGGCTCATGACATACATGGCGAGTCGCAGGGATTCGAGCTACGAACGCGTCACGACGGCTGGGAACATCGAATTTTGTACGTGGTGGACCTGGATTGCGACTACGCGATTCCACTCTTGCGAGCGGTGCGTCGTCGCGTTCGAAACGAGAAACAGCGAAATGTCGCGCTCGATCTCTAACGACGTCGCGTCCATCCGATTCGCAGGCAAACGCGAGCGGCCGGTTCTCAGCGCCGATCAGATGGCTTCTGCTTCGAGATGGCACGATCGCTGGAAACTCGATGGCTCGCGTGGATCGAACGTTCAGCGATATGGCCGTTTATCCGGACAGCGAGGTGATCGTGGCGACGAAGCTGCGAGTCGACGATAGCTTCGCGGAAATAACGTCCGTGTACAGGCCTAGCCCGTATCACGAAGTTATAACGGAGGATCGAGGAAACTGGACGGTGGATGGCGGCGTTCGAGCGGCGAATCTGCACGCGGCGTCGCGACGAAGAAGGAACCTTCGACGGACGCCTCTGAAATCCTGTCTCGTGGTATCTCTCGACACGCGATCGTCGAACAAGGAATTATCCGCCGCGGATTTGCGAACACGTGCCGCGATGAATTTCACTTTGGATCGCGCAAACAACGATAAGTGAAATTAAGATAACGAGTTTTGCAAATTGCAAAAACGAGCGTAACGTCGCGTCGCGTCTAACGCTCGTTCGCTGGCGGAGTTTTCAAACTCGCGAGCGTACATAATCGTCGCCTAATAAATTAGCCTTGCATTTGCATTCCCATAGATGACGGATCCCGATACGATCAACCACTTAACCGATTACGAAAATAAGCATATAGATGCGGTTACGAAGGCCAACTATCCTTGGATGTTGCATATAGCGAGCCGAATGAACGCAACGTGAGTCGCATTCGCGTTCCCCTGCCGCGTCGCTTCTCCTTTCTCTTGCATGGCAACCAGCATCCGACAGGGGCCGAAATGTCTCCCGCTGTGACGAACTTTTCGGCTCCTAGGAGATCATGCGTTCTAACGAGCCGCCTTTTTTCTTTCCGCATCGATTTAGCATCGACTTTCGCGTGACCAACACCTGGGGATATCGACTGGAGAACGGGTCGTGGAACGGCCTCACCGGGATGCTGCAACGACGAGAGATCGATATAGGAGGCACGGCAACCTACCTTATTCAACAGCGTATCGGTGTAATCGATTATGTACAACTTTATACCCGCACCAAGTAAGTCGTGTCGTTGGATAACGAAGGACGCGACGACCATCCGCGCGAACGTATGTACAAGCTTAAATCGCGACAGAGCGAAATTCATTTTCCGTGCGCCTTTGCTGTCCACCGTGAGCAACATTTTCACGCTGCCGTTTCAACGATCCGTCTGGATAGCGATCGGCGTTTTTCTTCTGCTGGTACTCGGCTTGCTCTACTTTTCCTCCAAATGGGAATATCGTCGGGGAGCATCGGCGAAAAGCGCCGCATATTGGCAGCAATTTTATCTGGACGAACAAACGCTCAGTGATAATTTCATGGTCGTGTTGGGTGCTTTTGCGCAACAAGGTAAGTTCGCTCTCGTTCCCAAGTATTGGAACAATGTAACGCGCGATTCGAATTTTTACGGGATACGATAATCTTAGCTTAGGTTATCAGACGAACGATTAAGCGATTAAAATTTTCTAAAAATTTGCCGCATGTTTTGCAAAAGTCTCGCGACGTATCGTACGTTTTCATCCTTCTAACGCGTAAATTACGAGTTCAGAAAAGTTTACCTAGCACGAATCAAAATTTACAGGTAAATAAGAACAAATAAAGTAGAAAGAGATTACTGTTGCGAGTATCGGAATTGGTTAAAGTAACGATCGACGAACGATCAGATTATTATTATAACGTTATACAACGCGACATACGAATTCTCTTTTATCTTACGAATCTTTGTACATCTATACGTAACTATCAAAGCAGACAGTAATTCTTGGATACTTTAACGATCTCCTAATCATCGTTATTTTCCTCGCTTTCTACGAGTGTTCCAATACTATGAACGGTGGTGCATGTCTTTCCTTTCGTTCGCGTTCCCTCTCCGACGAGTCGGTAAAATGGAACCGCAATTCCGCAGGATACTCTTACGAGCCGTATCGCGTTCCCTCGCGAATCGTCACTTTGATGCTTTTACTCGCCGCTCTCAACCTGTACGCCTCTTACACGGCCAATATCGTCGCTCTGCTCCAATCCACCACCGACTCTATCAGAACTATCGCTGACCTGTTCTATAGCCCGTTAAAATTGGGGGCGCAAGACGTGGTCCACGTTCGACACTACCTCAAGGTAGGCGGACCAAGAATTCGCGAAGAATCGCACCTCCTGCAACCCGGTTTACCAACTCGATCCAGTAACAATGTCCGTTTGCCGATCTTCTCGCAGAGCTTTCAAGATCCTCTGCGAAAAGCCATAGTGGAGAAGATCGAACCAAAGGGTCACAACAGCTCGTGGTTACCGGTCGAAGAAGGGGTTCGACGCGTTAAAGACGAGCTGTTCGCGTTCCACTCGGAACTGGGCGCGTTCTACAAGATAATGCAGGAGACGTACCGGGAGGAAGAGAAGTGCGGGATCACGGAGATCGATATACTGAACATGTTATATCCGCTTCTGGTGATCCCAACTCGATCGCCGTATCTGGAGATCGTAAAAAATGCGTAAGACGGCACGGATACGCGGCAGTGGTACGGTAGGAAACAAAAGGAATCGTTTTCAGGGCTTTGGCGTTGGCCGAGACTGGTCTGCAAACCCGCGAAGACAGCCGGTTGTACACGAAGAAGCCCGAATGCCAAGGACAAACGAGCTTCGTCAGCATAGGACTCACCGAGTGCTATTTCGCGTTGGTGGCGGTGGGCTACGGGGCGCTTCTCAGTCTCGTTGTGTTGGCGGTGGAACATCTGTGGCATAGGAAAGGAAGCTTGATCGACCTCCGGGCCGCGAAGAGGTTCGCCTCGGACGCCTTGCCGTTTCCCGGTGAAACACCGAACGACAACGCGACACCTTGGAACGAAGGCGATCCGTTTGAGTTCATCGAGGAGAGTCATCGCTTGCCGAGCAAGGAAACGGAGAATGGCTCGGTGTCAGAGGACGCGGATGATCGTCAACGACGAGGAACACGTTCGACCATCGGGGATTCGGTGAATTCGGTTCAATGAAAACGTACGAGATAAGTAATGCATATTAACATGTTTCCGTATAAATTCTATTCTCCACGCGCGTACAAACCCGTTAGACGTTGGACGGCAAAAAGTGTTGATAGTAATTTTTGGTGAATTCCAGCATGAGGTCGAGCGTGCACTCGGGTAAATCTTCGACGCACTTGGCAGGGTTGCCGGCGAAACGGGTAAACGAGGGTACGACGGTCTCCGGTGGTACCACCGCTCCATCCTCGATGTAGCAACAGTCTTTCAGGACGCACCTTCTCCCCTGCGTAGTTCAACAAGCACTTACTCTTTGTGTTGCTTCAATTCGTGCAAATACGTATAAATAAAGTTTACGCGTGTATGCCTTATACGTACGATTACTGCATTTTTTCCTATGTATATGTAAGAGCCGACGATAGCTGCGTTAATCACCGCCCGTTCTCCTACGAACACGTGATCTCCCATCGTCAAAGGAAAGAAGGCAACGCTGAAGAAACGACGAAATGAAATCAGACGTTAGGCCGGTGATAAACTTTCCGTCGTTTCTTTAATGCGTCGGCGATCACCGAGCCGCCAACTACCAACCCTCTGCTGAACTTCTTAAATGGTGGCCTTATAATAGCGTTCTTGCTGATAATACAATAACGTCCCGTTCTAACGTTTGCCAAATCGCCTCTGATAATAGCATCCGACTGTACGATCACCTTACCGTGCAACACGATATTCTGCGAACCACACAGAACAGTGTGTCTGCTTACTTTATTGCCGGATGCCTGAAACGTTAAAATCAAGAGAAACGGAGAAAGAGGTTAAGGTCGTCCGTATTCTTTTACCATTATCGAATACCAGTTTCGACTTCTCCTACCGTTTCTACGTATTCCGCCTTACTGTAGTAAACGTCTTGGGGCTCCATATCGTCTTAATTTTCTTAACTCCAAGTAATCTTCGATTTCTCCAAAATTCAAACCACTGAACTGTCACGTACGTTGCAGAGCCACTGTCGACGCTTTCGCGTACTTGCGCTGCGCGCGACTGCCGGTAAGTCTCGCTATCTAGCGGCGTCGCGGATAACTAACGTACCCGCGGCGCCAAATTCGATTCGATCGTCGATAGCCATACGAACGATCGAGTCAGCGAACCGAAAAAAGAAAAAAGAATACAGAGAAGAAACGTAAGGATCCAAACGTTTGATCCTTCTCACGGAAAAGTTGTCGAAACGGTCGGTCGATTGATCGTCGGGCGATAGCGTCGAATGGGCTAGCGACGCACGCGAGTGCGACGATCGAACCACGTCGGTCGACTTAAGTTACGTAACAAATTCCGCTCGAACGCCGTGTTTTGAAGCAGCGACTCCATAGTAACGCCGATAGAGGGTAGAAAAGAGAAACGCGAGGCAAGCGGCCGCGAGATAGTAAACCATTTTCGTTGGTCCTCGAGCGTTTAGACAGCGATGTCGTTGTTCAAGACGAAAGAGTGGTGGCGAACGAGGTGCGGTGCGAACGAAACATTCGATAAGCACAGCCTGTTGGCAGCGCCGTTGTTCGGAAAGGAGAGACAAGATGTGCTCGTGGTGGGAAGTCACGACGGTTACCTAAGGATGTACAGTCCGTCGTCGCGATGGGTGGACGAAACGAAATCACCGACCAACTACAAGTCCACGGATTTGATGATCGAGACTCGATTAGACGATTGCATCGTGGATATGAAGGCGGGAAAGTTCGTCTCGTGAGTATCGGTGGTCGAAAGTCGACGAAACATTGCGAATTGCCAGAGGTTCACGACGATCGTTGGTTGCAGAGGATCGCAAGATCTACGTTTGGCGGTATTGACGCCATCCAAGTTGACTGTTTACAACGTGGCTCTGGTCGACCAATCCACCGAATACGGTTTGTTCGCCGATAGTACAAACTCTCCTCTGGTCCTCTCCTGCGTCGTTTCTCGCGCGCGTTTCGCAATCGTCTGGAAAGCGACGACGGCGCAACGCGTTGGAAAAGATCGCGACGATCGCGCACGTTCTTCGTTCTCGGTGAGCGGAGACGAGAGCGGGGAACAGCTTTCACGGGAGACGCGACACGGCGAAAGAACACGCCTCCGGGCGTAAAGTCGTGGACGTCGAATATTCGGCGGTCGGATGGTATCGGGCAGTCGCGCGATCCTTTCTCCGTCTCTGCCAGAGCCGAGTCCTCAGTTTCGCATCAAGTTTACACGGTCGCGTTTGCTTGACAGGAGATCGGTGCGAACTGAAGATCGCTTACGAGCATCCGCTGCCGAGATTTCCGGCATCGTTGACGACGGGACCGTTCGGCGGCGTTCGCGGCAGAGACTTTCTCTGCGTTCAATGCCTGGACGGGACGCTTCTGTTCTACGAGCAGGAGATGTTCGCGTTCAGCCAGGTGACGCGCAATCGGTTGTTGGCCGAGCCGATCATTTACGTTCCGCGCTACGATCTGTTCGTCGCCGCCAGCTCCTCCTGGTATCTCGAGTGTCACAGGCACGTGTTTGCTCGATGCGTCGTCGCGTCGTCCGCTCGACCACGGCCGCTAATAAAACTCGGTGTCGCGGTGGCGACTCGAGCGTAACGCGTAATTAAATAAGTAAGTAAGTAAGTAAGATATATGGCGTGGGTTGCGTTGCCATTGCGTAGGTACCAAAGTATGGCGGAGTGGTCGAGAAGCACGGAACGAGTCTCCGGGAGCGCGAACGGCGCGGAGGAGCGCGACGCGCCG